TTACACTCGCCTCTTCAAATAAAATGAAAGGTACTCCAACATCATAATATTAGGAGATTCTTCGAAACCCAATTTTTCTAAATTGTGATCAATTGCCACAAGCTAAAAATAATTTCAGTATGAGCTAATCTGAGTATCAAAATATATTAATTACAAACCTAATTGAGGTTTTTCGTTTATAAATAGGTTTTAAGAATACCAGTAGATCATATATATTAGATGAATTAATCTTGTTTCGTTAAGGTGACTAAAGACTGGTAGTGGAATTTACCCACATTGATATAAGCAGACCTTACGTTTCTATAAAACATCACAGCCTTGCTTTCTAAAAGGTGTCCTCATCTAAGGTAAACTACACTTTCTACCTCGCCTAGGTCGCCTCAGCAACTCCAGCGGCCTTCGAATTATGGTAGAGTAGCGTATAATCTAGACACGTTAATCACTACGCCGCACTGCAATGAGTGCCATTGAGTCACAGGGCAGATTGGAATTTTAAGAGGCATTTTTAATATCACATTTTGTGATGGGATTATCGATGAAGCAAAGTTGTATTTGCTATAGCAATCAAGAACATTAATTATTTTTCGTTTAAAGTAGGTTTTCGAGACTACCAGTCGACTGCTATTGTTAACTTCTCTTCAGCAACAGGCCCATCAGAGAATATGATATGGGAAAAGGCATGACTTTCCTTGAAATTCACATATGCCCTGTCCAAAGGGCACTCATGGCAGTGTGGCGTAGTGATTAAAGTTTCGAGATTATACGGTACTTTATTAGAGTTCGAGAACCGCTAGAGTTGCTGATAAAACCTAGGCGAAGTCGAAACTTTAGTCCACCCTGAATGAGAATACCTTATAGGAGACAAGGCTATGTGAAATCCAATCGAAACGTAAGATCTACTCATATTATTGTGGGAAAATTCAACTACCAGTTCAACGAAGTCAGGCCACTTTCATTTACTTCAGTTAGATTTGCTCTGCTACCATGTAGTTTGCTTTAGAAGACAGCAAAAATTAGGATTAAAAAAAAAACTTTCACATCACTAAAATATAGCTGAGTTATAAGTAACATCATTTTTGGCACAATCATAGTATTTGAATATGTGGATTCAGAAGAATAGAAGGGCGGGCATAAGGGCGGTTAGTTGACTGAAGGGAAAATGAATGACCCTCAAGCTAAGTCCAGATTCTATGCCCCGCATCCAATATATCCCGTGGCGGAAAAATAAGCATAAACCTAAAATCGGAGCGATCATCACAATGGTATTAAACTTGGGGCAGATTGAAACTTCAGTCATTCCAAGAGTTAGATAGCGTAGTGGACTTTTACTGCAAAAGCAAAAAGCCCCCTCGATTGGATGTCAATACATCCACTATTGACAAGTAAAATAGCAATATACCAATTAATATACGTTTAAAGCGTGACAACCACCAATATAATTGTAAGCATTTAATTAAGTGTTAGGAAAAGGAGTGCCTACATAAGAGAGAAAATGTATGTATAATGATATACAAATTATTGGCCAGATTAAACTGTATATTCATGTATAAGCCCCCCCTTTGTATCATCACTTACAATTATTTACAAAAAAGTACAACATACTGCTGAAAACCAGTTGATTCCTACTTCATTATTTTATGCATTTTTTACGCATAAAACGTGTACCTGCTTTATATATGCCACCCCCCTACTTTTTGGGCTTGGAAATTTTTGAAAAAAAGGGTGGCTTATACATGGGGAAATACGGTAATCACAACAATAGAGTTTTGAGCAGATATTTAGTGGAAAGGAAAAATGAACACTGAGACTCCGGCGCATACCACATGAAAAAGATACTAAGATAGATTTCTCATTCTGCTAGCCTTAATTTGTAGGTGGCACACCTTCCATCAGAGTAGATTACTTGATATAGTCCCCAACCTATTCTGGCTTCATCTGCTCAGTGCTCGCAGTGAAAGTGTCATAGTCACTTTGAAATATAAAAATGTATGCAATAACAAAGAAAATACCATCAAAGGAAGTTGAGTGAGCAATGGGTATCTCCTCAACATTTCATTAATAAATAAAGCCAATCAACCCAGATAAAAATTTTTGTTTCTTAGGATTGGCTGTCATCATGAAATTTTTAATGATCCAGACCTTATTCTCTGGCAACTAATAAGCACTAAGAGGGTTAAGGCCCAGTATCCCCACAACCGGCAAATATCAAGCGCTGCTTAATTGAAAAAGAAGCCAAATTAAAACCCGATTGTCAGGGGAACTTTCATTTTGTATGAAAGTGCATGAATAAGAGGTTCGTTGGCCGATCCTAACAGATCAGAATGGATAAATCTTGTTATATGTAAGCCATTTGGCTTACATACTATATTCATGTTGACACAGTCCACGTAACTTCCTCCCTCGTTTTGGGTGAAAACGTGCTAAGCTTTCGTCCATCATATGACGGACATCATCAGAGCTAAGTGTCATTCTTGTAAAAGTCTCATGTTAAAACTAGGACAAGAACACTATCCGGCTCTATCTAACTTCCTATATAGAGTCAATTAAACCAAAAGAAAATTAAAAACTTAGATAGATCGATATAGAGTGGTTTGGTGTTATCTCATGAGATTTATCAAAACCCAGTTTATCTTTGTATCTAAATCCCTATTCTAAAGATTCTGAAGAAGATAGAACATCCAAATAGAATGGAAAAGTTTGAGAGCTACATAAACGGAAAGTGCACAGCCTTCAGATGGCACCGTTGCAGCTTCCTGGAATCTGGTTGTTGCCAATATGTACAAGATCTATATGGTGTCACAGAAATTGAGAATCAACATTGAAGGATCGTACGCTAGTTTATTTGAGTAAGGAAACAGATGACAACGAAAGCATTTCCGATTCGTGAAGTAACTCCACTCATCTGCAAGCATGTAGAGTAAGGTTGAAGTAGCCAAACAAATCATGGGATGGCTCATTAAGATCGCGAAGATAGCTGCATAAAAGAGACTAGGGTTACAGCCGGTCGTTTTTTCTATAAGTTTAGCATGTTTTTGTTTTATTTTGTAATGTGGATTATTGCTCTGATAATGCCTGTCACAGCGGTACAGACGAACGCTTAGCAAAGGTTTATCGGGGTCTCATAAAGGTGAGGCGAAGATTGCTCTGAGCAATACAACAGTCTTCCCCACGCGGTGATACTTTGGTTTCCGGTGAGACTACATCACGAATTCCTTCTAACAAACTTTTCCTTCGAAATGGAAAGTCATGTCACAATTTACACTCTGCTGTTCTAATTCACATAGTTTATTGGGATAAAATATGGTTAACTAATAAAGTAAAGGTTTGCACTAGACCAGATGGATTGATTGATGTTGACAGATGGGTTGTGCAATGAGTGAAAAGATAAATTAATTGAGAAATAGTACCTACCAGATCTGAGTTATCAACTGGTTAAGACAGATTTTGTCCAACGGCAGGCTTGATAGGCCAAGAGAGCTGTAAATAAGAAGGTCACCATTCTGACAACCTAGCCATACCGTGGGCTGAACAGTGGACATTCTCGGGGAAACAAGAACGTCAGAAACGGGATGGGAAAAAGGTGGCCGATTGGAATCAGCCTGAGCATACAAGTGAGAGGATGAGATGGTTGATGAAAGGTGGGTCGAGGAAGTGGAGGCAGCTGCGATTGGGCTGGTGAAATTGGCCGCTTTTGTCATGATATTGGAAGGGATCACAAGTCTTGCTGCAGATTTCTTCACTACATATTGACATATTTTCGAGAACCCGGCAGGTGAAAAAAAAGGAGAACAATAAACTAAGAAAATGTCTCGTACGTGTTTGCGAAGTCAAATTTGTAAAGGGCCTACGGGAATATTGAAAAAACACGGCTTACCAAATAAAAAATTATTGTGCTTCGATAAATCTCCTTAGATTACATTGTTTTGGCAATTTTTACAAAGTCGAGAAAACTAATCGGCTCAAGCTTGCCTGCTTAAAACCAGAATACGAAAACACTACCAATAGATGAGATAAATAAGAGAGAATAGTGTATCTTCAGTCGTAGGTCACCAATACTTACTGATTAAAAATCAATACTGTAACTAATACCTCTTGAACATACGTCATGGGGATTTAGTATGCCATGAAAGAAGAAATCAAACAGAAGCGAGGGCACTAACAGCTTATAGCCTTCCAAAGAAGCCCGAAAGAGTTAGTTTAGACTAATTGTGAATTACAAAAGAAGTGTGATGCATAAAATCTCACAGTTACTATGCAACCAATTAAGGAGTCCCATAGAAGACGAGTGGCTCGAGATTATGAGTATAGATAAAATAATAATTTTATAAAATTTAGTATGTTTAAGACGATGCAAGGATTTGTAATGACGAATGGAAGTCTGTTTCATTGAAAGTCCCACTATAAGGAAGGGTCTAGCCTACCTCGAAAATCAGACCATTCACTTATGGTTGTGCAATTGAGTAGTAAATGTAATAATTTTTCGCACATGATGCGGTTTTGAATTTACTTTGGGGTGCTGATGAGACCTAGGTGAGATAAACACTGAGGTCCAACCTAAAGAAGAAAAGCTTATTGGAAACACAGCTATAGGAAATTCAAAGGTGGCGTGAGGCCTACTCTTTTTGTGGGAAAATTTAAATATCAGTCCTTAGACCACCTTGAGAAACCTAGGGTAAATGAAGTTCTTAATTAAGAAAAGCGGGAGAATATTGGCTATGCCAAACTTTTGGGAACTTATTTTATAAGCATATAAGAAAATAACCAAGGAGGAAGACTAATTAGGAGGTTTTGATGTAAAATGCATGTATACCAACATTCCGGTTAAGGGAGTCACGCTGAGGCACCCAGAAAAAATTAGAGTCCCCATTTTAAAACGAGATCCATCTATGAGTAGAACTTATCTAAACTTTACGTTAATTTATATGGACAGAAAGGAGAACTTGCAATATAATTTTGCTTAGCTCAAATTTTATCAAACAATCACATTACGAAATTTGAATAAAGCTAAAAGGAATAAGTACTATTGACCAAAAATTATGAGTAAGATATATATAACTCAAATTATCATTTGATAGGATGTGCCTGAAAAAATTGCAGCTAACAAGTGACGCACTGGCCTCCCTGATACAATCCACTAGCGAATGCAAAAGGTCTTGGATAGTTTCAGCCCAGAGTGATTTTGTCTGGGGTGAAATTGTGGAGGTTCCAGTGACGTGCTGGATAAATTTAAAACTCCAAAGAAACGTTAAAAAAAACATTAAATCATACTTATTTTACGTTCCTAAGTAGTGTTTCATACTAACTAGCTTAAAACGAGATCTGATTTAAGCATAGGGGCTAGAATCTGACCTGGAGAAAGCAATTTCTTCTTCTAATCACAAATTAAGAATAGACAAAGGAATAAACCCTTTTCAAGCTTAGCTATCCAAACACAAGTTCATTGAATGCTAAAATCCGAGTTAAATCTCAGATACGAGGACCTCAATTTGATCACTGTATAAAAGTCGTTTGACCACGTTTCAGCAACTTAGTCGTGTTGCCAATGCGACCTCGATTAACACAGCTTGTCAGGAGTGTCAGACAATAAACTTGGTACATTCCACGAAGTTTCGCTGACATCGTAGCTGGCATATTTAGTGAACCTTGCAAGAATTAGCACCAAGCTTAACGCTTTAAAAACAAGTTAAGTTTATTGTTAGAGGACTTTCATTTCGTATGAAAGTGTATGAAGAAGAGATTCGTAGGTCGATCTCACCAGAAGAGGACGAATTAATCCCGTTGTACTGTAGCCGTTTAGCTTTTATACGACGTTCAGGTAGACGCAGTCCATGAGACCTCCCTCATTTCGGGTGAAAACAGACTGAGCTTTCGTCCATCATATGATGGACATGATCCGAGCTGGGTCTCATTCTCGCGAAAGTCTCACGTTAACACCATCTGATGATGTCCATCATATGATGGACGAAAGCTCAACCCGTTTTCACCCGAAACGAGGGAGATCTCATGGACTGCGTCAACCTGAACGTCGTATAAAAGCCAAACGGCTGCAGTGCAACGGGATTTATCCATCCTCTTCTGGTGAGATCAACCTATGAATCTCTTTTTCATGCACTTTCATACGAAATGAAAGGCCCCCCCAACAATGTTATCTCAGGATATTAATCGAAACCCTATTCTTCTTCGTATCTACAAGTAAAGTTTATCTCTTAATTAGCTTTCTGCCAAAGGATTGTTGTGCTTCTTCTCCATCTGTGCTGGTATATTTACCTACCCACACCCTCGTAGCTCATTCCCTTTCTATCACAACTTTAGACTGACTTATACTGGGCTAATTCAAAGGTATGCCCTATTTAGCGGGGTTTTGTTAGACGTTTGCCTATATAAATACATTTGCCAATGGAGGGAAGAGAGGTGATCCCATAGGAAGTCCAAATGTATGTTCATAGATGTTGTCATTGAATGTAAAATAGAAAGTACTTATTGTCAAGTTGACTAAACGTGTTACCGACTCCCTTATGATATTCTCTGTTTCTAGGATATCCTCTTCTCGATCCAAAATTTCTAACAGGGCCGTCAGTGCCTTTTCTCCAGAAATGTTTTTGTACATAAAAACTTACCAGTAACTATGTTTCTTCTATTGTTATGTTTTTGCCCCTCTGAGAAAATTCATGTTTGCTTCACTACGTTTGACATTCTGTTACTTACCTTCATGAGTTTTAGTCATATGAACTTGACTAATTTGTGTGTTGCTCCAAACTTGTTGTTATCTATCAGACTTAGTGGTTCTCCTTCTTTGTGCAACTTCGGTAACCCGTAGGCTGTTGGTGGTCGTGAATCGTTTTTTAATGAATTTATTGTCATCCATTGATCTCCCCGTTCCTGTGTATATCTTTAAAAATGTCCCGAAGAGTTACCTTGATCTTCATAGTTGGGACCCTCTTTAGTAGACGTTAGGTTGTCCTGTCTTGCAGCATACATTCCATTTTCAATGTTCATTGTTTTCTCTCCATTACAAGTGTCGCTCCTCCTTTTTCCGCCTGAAGGACCAATTGTTCATTCCTTTCCAGGGTTTTTCGTATCCTCGCAAATCACTCCTTGTGCATTGGTTTATAATGTATCAAGATTATAGAGATTATTTCCATCTCCATTTCCTATTTTGTCTCCTGAGGGAACTTGTCGGAGATATTGATGACCTTACCAGAATTTCCTCTAAAATATTTCTTCTATTTTAAAGAGCAAAGTTTAGTCCTTTCCTTAGGATCGTCGTGGTTTCAGGATCAATGGGAAGTGAGGATAAATTTACCAGCTTGTTCCCTTCACCGTAATGTTCAGTAGGTGTCGTCACCTTGGAAGCCACTTCAACTGGGCGCGCTGGCTTGACTCTACGTTGCTCTATAATTCCATACCTAAGCAATTTATTGTCGTGTTTGGTCTTATTAAGTCAGAGATCCTACGTGATTTCTTATCGGCCATACTCTTGAGTTTATGAAAATCCTCCAAAGTCATAATTCTGGCTAGATCACGCCGGAGCCTTGACTTAATATCTGTTAAGTTAAATAGCGTATTCCTTTCCATATCTAAGGTTTCATGGAACTTATGCAAAGAAGCCTGGTTAAGAATCTTATTAACCCTATCTGAATGGAAGTGCCTCTTAAAGTCACAAAATCCACTTCTCTCTTTGACTAATTGTAGCTTGGTTTGCTGAGAACGGCAAGACTCACTAATGATGCCGACTACGATACCGGCGAAATGTCTGGGAATGTACCACGTCCACGGTCCGCCTAGGAAATGATCATGCATACTATGGACTCCTCTGTCTTCCTGCTAATATGATCAAGTTGCGAAACCAAGGTCAAACAACTTATACAAATATTTTCAGTTGATTAGCTAGTTACTTTCTATAGTAACAAGTTAAAAAAAGAGCGACCGAGTTTAAGAAATAACATAATGCTTTTCAAGTAAATTCGTTTAATTAACAAGTGACAACAAGAACGAGGTTATATAGAAAATCGAATCCCACAATAGCCAAATAATTTGTAAGACGAAAAGGAAAAAGAATAATTTATTATCGATTGGCCATAACTCACCTGTACTTTGCCTTTCACTTGTAAATGAATCATTCGCCTCTCCATTGCCCGTCGTGAATCGCCGTAACCGATATCTGCAAACAGAATAGCCACAAGTCGGTCCATTACGCCTTATTTGGCAAGTATTTCCCAGAGCCTCATGAAGGCGATGGCCTTCGTTGCTGCCGGCCTGCATTGTTGTCAAAGCCTGTTGCACCCTCAATTCCGATGCCTCGTCCTCAAGAACATCAATAAAACTCACTCGATGAGAAGAGGGAAGTGTTAGTGAATCCTTCTTTGAACAACTCACCATGACAGATGGATCAACAGATGACCAACCGGAAGCAGAAGGAAGTAGTTGTTTATCAAGGCTCTCACCAAGACAGTTAGTGCTGGTGACTGTAGTGCTGCTCGTCAATCTAATAGAAGTTTCAGGGAAACCATCCTGAAGTGAGGGTGAGAGGGAGTTTGTTGAGCGAGAAGAGGGGGACGAGGAGGAAATGGCGGTTTGCGAAACAATTTCTTTGGTTCGGTTCGTTCTATCGAAACCTCTGCTATCAAAGTGATTTGGGTTGCACTCAAATTCTCCAAGAGATGGCATTAGGTTGCTCTGGAGACTGGCCCCTTCACTGCTCGTCGTCATCTGACTATTGGCCATTCTGACAGCACATTCCTCACTAGCACTCAAAGAGCCCTGACCTGCAACGAAACCGCTGTCATGTGAAACGGTTAGTGCAACTCTCGCTCTTCTACCAATATTATAGCCATCGTTGCCAACACTATCATCTTCTCCAGCATTTTGAAGGCGAGGAGCTCCATCAAGCTCTAAGACGGTATTAAAAGAGTCTGTGTGAAGTTTAGTGCCCATAAATTTGCTGAAAGTGGCGCCAGATTTGGTGGGATCCGTTTCAGAAAGTGATGATAGCAAGTTAGGAGGTCCTCCATCGAAATCAAATGAAGGCTTAGTTATTATGCTTTTTTGCTCACCACCAACGCAGAGATTACCCATTCGAAGGGAGGATTGAGTGGATGAATAAACAACTGAGTCCATTTGAACGGAAGGGGTGATAGACAGATCTTCATCTTCGACCAACGTAAGGGCATCCCAGTTAGACCGGGAAAGTCGAAGCTCTTCATAATCGGCGGCAAGAGCGCCTAAAAGTAAAACCAGCATGAATAAGCATGTGCAAAAACCTTAAGAGTATAGAAGTGGGTTGACCTCGTTGTCGCAATTTGGTCTTGTTGTCAGGACGACTATGTAGAACTCACCTAGTCCGAAGTCGTCTGCCATAGTAGTTGTCATGATTCCCAGCATCTGAGAGTGGACTTGATACATTCTCAAACGTTTCGCCGGCATCGTAGTCGGCATCATCACTGAGCTTTGCCATTATTCGCACCAAGCTACGAACTCGCAAAGAGACAAGTGAAGTCAATGCCTCGACAAACGTTGTGCCGAAAACGGTTACAGTATCACTCCTCTTTCTTCCATTGTCTATCTATTTACTCGTAACACTCTTATCCTATTGCCGCCCTATCACAACTTCTCACTTGTTTACATTCCAATCGTCAAAATGTGTTCACTTTTGTGGTAAACTTAGTGTGGCCTCATCACATTTGCTATTTACCCCGACCCCTCTCTTTCGATGGGCTTATCCCACTCGGGCCTAGATCATTTCATTGTCTAGTAGATCCGTTCCTTATCTTTCTGGTTGACCGATTTCACTCGGATCCAGTCCCTGTGTGCATTTCACTCCTGGCGCTATTTCTCAAGGTCCTAGAAGCACATACACTGCCGCTTCATTGAGCGGAGTTCTTAAGCTCTGAATCCCATACTTGGAGATATTAGGCCTTTGGTCGTCTCCTTGATTAAACACATGTTATTTCAGCAAAATATGGACGTCTATCTCTGGTCGCATATAGCATCTCAAGTGGATTTCTAGTGCATTTTGTCGAGAAACCCTAATTTCTATGACGGTGCTTATCCGTCTGGCCCGCTTCCTAACTGCCAGCCCCCCAAAGTTGTACTGGTTTATTCAAAATGGCCATCACCCACTGACAACGTCTTCGCTTAATTGCTGAATACCCCTGCCCCCCTCTCTTCTTCGCAATCCCTTTTCCTCTGGTTAGCACAAGATCCTTGGCGGACGACTTCGGACTAGGTTCTTTCTACATAGTCGCCCTGACAACAAGAACAAGTTGCGACAACGAGGTCAGCCCACTTCTATAAATCAAAAGGAGACTGCGACCATAAGAGAGGCCACAACATCTTGGTCTTGATATATTCTTAAGACTATAGTTATTTAAATGAATTCAACCTATTTAGTTTAAAATGATGAAGGACTGGTAGTAGAATTTGCCCACAATGATATGAGTAGAACTGACATTTCCATTGAATTTCACAAAGCCTTGCGTTCCCAAAAGTTGTTCTCATCCAGGGTAGACTGCAGTTTCGACCTCGCATAGGTCTTATCAACACCCCAAGCAAGAGTCGAACCGTGACAGTGCAGAATGTGAGCTTGACACGTTAGCCATTCTTCCACATTGCTACGAGTGCCCTTGGGTCGCAGGGCAGATGTGAATTTCAAGGAAGGCCAGACCTTCGGCCATAT